AATCAAAGGGAAGATTAAAGTCACAAAGTTAGGACTCCCCGTTCCCGTCCTGATGCATTCCTCTAGTGTTCATGCATTTTATTCATTCGCTATCACATACACTTTTACTTTATATTCTATCCCTTTTTCCACATTCTCACTTCACACTACTTTTGGACGTTTTTCACTTAACCACTCACACTTTATACCATATCACTCGCACACATGCACTTTATATTATTTTCACATTATCATTCTTTACTCACCTTACCCTGTAAATACATTTGCACACCTCCACTTACATCCTATTATTTTTATCACTTTTCTCACTTCACACAAACTCACATTTTCACATGGCATGCATTCCACTCATTTTTACGTCATTTAGGATTATGTGTGACCTCTCCAAAGGATCATCATTGGGCTTCACAATTAATGTGATTGGCACCACTCAACCTTTGAAGAGAAATTTCCCCCATGTCCCCCTAGGTCTAGGTTCTTGCATTCATATAGTCATATCCAACACGCGATACATACCTTGGGTAGAAAAATTAGGAAAGGTGGGGCTAAATCACGCAACTAGCCTTGGCTAGGTCGAAGGGGTGCCTTGGATTTTATCCTTGCCTTCCCCTTCGTCAAATGTGACTCCCGAACCTTTTTTCGTTGGTTTACGTGGACTAGGAGTCGTTTAAAAGGGGTTTCTCTCTACCTTTCCTTTAGAAAAAATCACTTTTTTGGGTGACTTGGTACACCCTAACTCTATACCAAGTGGCGACTCCGTTTTTCATTCAAAAAACCCTTTTTAAACTTCGTTTGGCCAAATCGTCGCATTTTTAAGTCCCATGGCCTTTTATTTTCATTTACACACGTTCACATATTCCACACTACTCACACACCACAACACACATTCAAAAAGTGGGGCGCGACAGCCACTACCTAAGAATCCACCTCAAGACATCTACCTAAAGTCAAGGTTCAAGGAACCCATCGACAACCCAAGCTTAACTTAGTTAAAACTAACCAAAATCTAACTAAGAGATGAAAGAAAATGAGGGCTTTGAGGGGTTTTACAATTTTTCCAGGAGTAGTGAGCAACTACAAGGAAACAAACTCTAAACCACCAAGTATCTTCCTCCTCCAAGTCTTCTTCTAAGCTTGAGTGATGATCCAAGAAGATGAGCAAGTTTGGAGCAAGTGTTTGGAGCAAAAATGGAGAAGATGCTAGCTGAAATTTTTGGCTAAAATGGAGAGGGAATGGCCGGCCAAGAGGAGAAGAAAAATTGGAAATTTCTTGGCTCATTGGGAGATGAAGTGCACGGCTAAGGGGAAGAAGAAAGAAAGGAAATGAAATTTTTGGTCAATTTTTCTTTTACTTAAAGGCTAAGAGTAGTCCATGTCAAGGTCAAAGTTCCATGGATGTTGTGACAATTGTCCTTCCAAGATTAATCCTCATCCTATTGTCTTCTAATCACTAAAATATCTAGCCAATCTCTAATTATCTCTTAACACCTTATAAAATAATATTCCTTTGTACAAAACACCTTTTTAATCTTCAAAAATTTATTGCACGCACCGCATTAGTGGGTCCCATATTCAATATGCAATTCAAATTTAACATGAATTAACTTATACAAGGAAAATGATTTAAAACTTGACTCACTTATAAAAATATCTGGGAAATTAAGGTAATAAGGTAAGGTAAAGAAAATGTGCTCAAAGAAATAAGATAAAATAAAGATAATTTTCGGGTCCTCGCACTCTCTTCCCCTTAACAGAATTTTGTCCACGAAATTCTCTCCTTTGCTCACAAAATTCGATTCTACAAGGTTTTCTTTCACTTTTCAAGAGCATCCCCCTTAGTCATGTTGCTACCACAATCTTACCTAGAGGGAAAAACTTAATAATACAATGACTAAATTAACATGCTAAGATCAATGAAGGTATCAAAAGGTGAAAAGTAACATAAACTTCAAACTCGGTGAAAAGAAGGGTTGAAACTTGGTTACTACTCGTGCTAATTCTTAAATTTATACACTGTACGTTGACAAATCATCCACAATATAAGGCGTCTCTCATTTTTACAATTGTACCACTAGATCCGAATCACCCTTTCTAATCAAAATTTCTTCCTTTCGAACCACAAATGAAGAATTCTCGCTTAAATTCAAGACTAAATTATAGTAATAGATTTATGAATGAGGATCCATTGCTGCCTAACCACCAGTATTTAATATCACCCATTAAAACATCAGGTACCAAGTCCACTGTATCTAACAGGGATACAACTTACTACATATATTTCCCTACACATAGCCTAATAAATATAACTATTTCAGGTAAAACCTCACTAATTGTTAACTTTGACTATTACAACTGCTACACCATCCCGAACTTCATTTGTCTTGAGCAGTTCCTCACTTGATGTCCAAGTTGGCCACATCTAAAACATGCACCAATTTTCAAATAACATAATCCCGTATGAATTTTATTACATGTTTCACATTGAGTAGCTACGCATCTCTTCTTGAAGTGTCCATTCTTTCTTTTCCTCCTCTCTTTATCCTTCATAGCAAATTCATCTTCATGCATCTTTTTACGTTTCCCTTTAATATTGCGAGTACTTCTTGTGACGACCCCACCTCCCCCTAAGGCGAACCAAAGGGTTCGGCGGACCGCCTGCCCACTCTCGCCAGGACTCACTCACGTAAAGATGGCGAAAATAACTTACAAACGTAAGAAAATAAAGAACACAATCCCTTCAGCTTAATATATATACAGCAGTACTCAAATCCAACTACAAGGTTCATACATGTCCAAATACATTAACGGGTTTACAATTCAAATACACACAACCCTAGTCGGGTGCTAGCGTGAGTACAAATCAAAATTTCAAAATAACTAGACTACGCTAGTCTGTACACGTCTCACGCCTCGCTCGTACCCCTGTAAGGAAAACAAAACTAATGGAGTGAGTTAAATCTCAGTGATGTCTCAAATATCAAATTGTCGATCAAATAAAGTAAAAATAGCATAATAGTGAAATAGCGAGCAAAACAAGTCAAGAAGTGAGTAACAGCACTTCATATAGCCAAACAATAAATTTTCCGCATTTCACATATAAGGATACGGTTGCTCATATATCGGCTCCACCATAGCTTGATCGATTGGTAGTTGACACTCCGTCAACTTTCGGATAAGAAACTAGTCCAGTAGAACACCACTTAACTCCAATCTCCGTCCACCGACAAAACCCCTTACTGGGACCGAACTCCACAATAAACACTGGTGGTAATACTCGAGTATACCGATTAGTCAAGGAGATAACACTCCACTCGACATCACTAACTACCCAGGGTTCGTTATCTAATCGACCAGACCCTTGCCGGCTCGACTCGACAAACTAGCCATAGGGTTTCTGGAATTCCAGGCAAGATACAGTTCATAGGCATGTATAACAAGTTAATTGCAATCGATGAACAAGAACACATCACATTAGGGCAAGTGCGATAAAGTATACTCTTGCCCTATCAATTCACTTATATATATATCATGTAATCACATTGGACAAGTGTTACACACAAATGTCAAGTTCAATCAGATATTTGGAAGCACTCACCAAAATGTAGTGCCTCAGTGATCACGTCTGGGTTGTACTCCGGGTTTGGAGTCCAAATCTGCGATAAAACTTTGTTTAAGAACTTTGAAAAACGACTAAGGTTCGAAACTTAAACGTTTCGTTCAATAAGAATCAAGTAATTGAAATTCATTTGGAGAATATTTGTGAAACACTTGCTCGTTTTCAAATTGTGAGCTTTTGTAGCAATTATACTTGAAAATACCATTGGAGTCGAAAGAACGAGAAAAACGTATTTCTAGTAGTCGTTGTTTCATTTCTCAAGGGTACAAGTTCGGGCAAGTTCTAACATATATACCTCGATAAAAGAAAACACAAATATCCTAGATGGTTCAAGTGGTATTCGCTCTCAAACCTTACTCAAGTCGCAAGTATATCTACCCAGCCCTCGAGCGTAAATTTGGGCAGCACGCCCTTTGTATTTACCTATTTTTCAACCATTTATGGCTTCATTCTTTTCCTCAGTCAGTCCCAAAGTCACACACAAAAATCATCTCATTTCAATAGCCGTTCAATAGGTTCAAAGTTATACAAGTACAAAATCAAACTAGGAAAATGTCTGGAAATGAAGTTTAAGTCATAAAACAAAAGACAGATTTGCCGTCGTTTAGCGTAACGGGAACAACCGAAGCTACGCTTATTGGATTGGGGTGTAATTTATACCATTTCGAAGCTAAGATAAAGGGCTACAACTTTAATGAAGACCACTCAGTCCAGTTCCTGGTGTATCCAAGTCAAAATTTCAAATTACAGAACCAGAATCTCACATTCGGGCTAGTTAACCGCACTATTCGTAAACGATAATAACTCAGGCTACCGAAGTCCGATTAAGGAGTTTTTAGGGCCGTTGGAAAGATAAAACATAACACTATAACTTCTGTGTTTTGGCCAAATGCTAATTCAGTATGGATCAGGGTGAACAGACACGGTCAGATTGGTGAAATATCAAAACTGGCCACAAAGTTCTACCTATGGAAGTCAGGGGTATTTTTGTCTTTTCACATGATAAAGTGCTTGGATTGAGTTGAAAGTTTACAGGCAGCTATAAAATATCATTCTCTACAACTTTCATGTTTTGTGCTAAGTCTAATTCGGCCTCCCTCATGGTCAAACAGAACCGGACAGAACAGGGGAATTACAAAACCGAAAACTGGAATTCATGAATACAAGTGCTAATCTTCACAATCCTAGCTTGAAACACTACTTCACCTCCTTGTCTACACTTTTTTTTTTTTTTATAAATTATTTTATTTTATTGATAGGAGCAAATTTTACACACTGAGAAAGACCAATTCGAAGTACAGCAATCGACTGAAAAGGTAATAAATCAAACACAAAACCTCCATGTCTCATTCAACCGCATATTAGCTCCAGTTGTCCTTTGTTCTCAGCCCTTCATACGCTTACTTTTCCGAATTGAAGGCATTCCTAATCTATCAAGTCGAATGGCCCCACGAGCCATAGTTGGGAACGAATTAAAGGCCTCGTAAAGCTTGACTTGATGCTCTGGATGAAATACGCCCACATTGGACAGCGCATCAGCAACTTTGTTAGCTTCCCTATAGCAATGTGAAAAACGATCAGGATCTTTCACCAACTGCCAAATCTGCCTAATCTCTCGTCGAATCTTCCAGGGGCATTGAATGCGATTCTGAAGAATTCCAACTAATAATAAAGAATCCGATTGAACATAGAGATTTTGAAAACCCCTATGTACATAAGTTTGAAGGCCAATAAGGAGTGCCTGAACCTCTGCACATAGACTTGTAGTTTCCCCAAGATATGCCGAAAAGCCAATCAAAGGTATGCCATTTGAATCCCGAAGAACCCCACCGCCTCCACTCACTCCTGGATTGCCCTTAGAACAGCCATCCGTATTTAATATGAACCGATCGGATTCCTTTGCTTCCCAACGAACAAGTTTGTATGTAACCTCAGTATGAGAAGAATACGACCAATCATACAAATGATGAAATGACTGTACTCTGAACACTTGTTTGAAATGAATTCCCACCATGGTCTGGATTTCCGAGAAAATGGCACGACAAATGGCAAGCGGCCTCATCTGAACATCCTCAAACATTGCTTTATTCCTTGCTTTCCAAATCTGCCAACAGACAATGCTGGGTAGAATGTGCCCAATAAATCGTTGTATTTCAGAATCATATGAGCTGAGCCACCAACCCACTGTACGGGGCCTCAAAGATGACCCTGGAAAGGACAAACCACATGAAGCTCCAAAATAGTGCCAAACTGTCGACGCTATATGGCCATTAGAAAAGAAATGTTCAATTGATTCCTCAGATGCCGAAGAACAGCAAAAACACTTTGAGGGTAAATGTAAACCAAGTTTACATAACCGATCTGGAACCGGCAGTCTCCCCAGCAACAATCGTAGCATGAAGAATGAAACTTTGAAAGGGAGCTGAGAATGCCAAATTGTATTAAAGACCATAGACTTGTTGCGGGCCTGCCTAATATCCCGAAATGCCGAAGCTATAGAGAAGTTTCCAGATGTTGTGAGCGTCCAAATGACTTCAGATTCACCCCCTTCTTCTGGAATCGGGTGCTCTAAAATAGAGGGCACCATTTCCCTCGGTAGTATCTGATATAACAAATTTACATCCCAGTTTCCATTGATGATGAAATTAGCAAAAGACAAATGTGGGACAACGGTCGCTTGGTGGAACAAAGTACCACCCCCCAACCAATTGTCGTACCAAAAATGACAAGCGCCGTCTTTTGCAATCCATAGCATAGAGAATTCCACTTGTCGACTCACATTGACCATCCTGCGCCAGAGTGCGGAGTCCATTGCCTTGATTTCTACCTGACAAGGATGAAGGTGTCTACAGTATTTTGCTTTCATAAATTCAGCCCACAATGACAAACCCTTTCTAAAATTCCACCAAAGTTTGAATGAGAAAGCTGTATAGATGTCTTGAAGCTTCCGAAATCCAACTCCTCCCTCCTCTATCGGATAGCACATATGGGTCCAACGTATCCAGTGAAATTTCGACTCCTCGGGTGATGAGCTCCATATGAAGGTCGAGAAAGCCTTTTCTATAGTTCTAAATACCTTACTCGGGATAACCGCAGCCGACATCAGATGTACTGGCATCGATGCCAAGACATGTTTGATTAGAACTATCTTACCTCCAAAGGAAAGCATCCTTGATTTCCATGATATAATTCTCCCTAGAATAGACTGACACGCTTCTCCAAAATATGATGATTTGCATCTCCCAAAGTAAAGGGGGCAACCCAAATACCGAATTGGAAATGGTTGCCAGGAAAACTTGGTGATACGTTCAATCACCCTTCGTCTTGCCGGTGGTAAAGATGGATGAACCAGGTAACAAGTTTTTAGCACATTTATTAGCTGACCCGAACACCTTTGATACGCCTCTAGCACCTGCATGATAACCTTTAGAGAATAAGAGGATCCGTTTGCAAATATGAGAACATCATCCGCAAACGCCAAATGAGTTATAGTAGGACATGCATACGGGACTTTGAATCCCACAAAACCCGATTGCATGGCAAGGTTATTCAATCCTCTAGATAACACCTCAGCCCCTATAATGAATAAAGCAGGCGATAAAGGATCACCCTGACGGAGGCCTCTCGTAGATTTAAAAAAACCATGAGATGCCCCATTTAAAATGACCGAAAACCAGACATTAGAGATCAATCGCCATACTAAATCAATAAATATTTCTCCGAAGCCAAACCTCCTGAGAACATCAATAATATGATCCCATGCCACCCGGTCATAAGCTTTAGACATGTCAAGCTTCATTACCACATTGCCTCCTCTATTCTTTTTCCCAATACCCGAAACTATCTCCTGAGCTAGCAGAAAATTATCTGTTATATTGCGCCCCTTCACAAAGCCTGTCTGCTGGGGTGAAATAATTTTGGGCAGTACATAAGCAATTCTATCAGCTAAGATCCTGGATAATAATTTGTTGAAGAAGTTACACAGACTGATGGGCCTAAATTGAGAAAAATCCTGGGGATTTGGCATCTTCGGAATTAACACAATGGAGGTAGATGTGATGAATCGAGGCAACTCTGCCCCACAGAAAAAGCTGAGTATTGCATTATATACATCTTGGGCAACAACTTCCCAGGCAAATGTTAAAAATTTGCCTGTGAAACCATCTGGGCCAGCAGCACTGTCCCCATCCATTGATCTCACGACTCGATAGACTTCTTCAATCGAAGGAACCTCTTCCAATTTTTCATTGTCCTCTTCCGAGATTATGGATGGAATTAGGTGCCGCAAATCGGAAGATGACTCTAAAGAACACGTGAATAGGTCAGAAAAATATGTTATTGCCTCAGTTGCTATATCATCATTCTTGTCCACCCAAACACCGTTTGACTTTTTGATGCGGTGTATCATTCCTTGAGCCCGTCTCTGTCTTACTACCGCATGAAAATACCTTGAATTACGATCTCCGTGTTTAAGCCATTTGACCCTGGCTTTTTGGCTCCAAAATTGCTCTTCAATTGACAATGCATGCCGCAACTCCGCCTGAGCCTTGCTAAGCTCAACCTGACATTCCTCCGATGCATATTGATCCATAGCTTCCTCTGCGCGTTGGACCCCCATTTCTGCAGAACGAACAGCATCAAATACATTCCCAAAGTGTTGCTTGTTCCAAGTTTGAATAGCCCTCCTCGTTGCCAAAAGTTTAGAGCTCAAAACACGCAATGGAGAACCAGACACATCTTGATTCCAAGCATATCGAATTACCTCCAAGAGTTCAGATTTGGTTGTCCAGACGTTCAAAAATCTGAAAGGCCGTGGCGTATGATCTGATCTCTCCTTAAATGAAATTTTCAACGGTGCATGATCTGAAGGATGTCTTGCCAGGTGAAGCACAGAAATTGCGTTTGAGAGATCCAAACAAGCCCCATTGACTAAAAACCTATCCAACCTCTTTGAAACCCGAGCTCTTCCTCTCCGATTGTTAGACCATGTGAAGCTAGCTCCTGAAAATCCTACGTCAAAAACTCCGGCATCTTCCATAAAAGACATGAATTCCATCCCCTCCGCTATAACAAATGGACGTCCCCCTCGTTTTTCATGAGGTGCTAATATAACATTAAAATCACCCCCAATGCACCAAGGAAGAGAAATTGGCTTATCATTTAATAAGGTATGCCATAAGACACGGCGCTCCTGCACTGAGCACTTATCTACACTTATTCACAGCATTTTTCATCTAAACAAGAAGAAATATGGCTGAACAATACAAAACCCTAACTCACCAATTCTCCAAAAATCATCACAACTACTTGCATAACTATCAATCAACCAAAAATATGAATTGTATAGCAACTTAAGCAAGAATAAAGGAATTAAAGATGATGGACAGCCAATATACCTCAATAAAAGGGCTTGAAGAGTTATCCTTCACCTTTCCTTATGAAATTAAGCTCCCTAAGCTTCCCAAGCTCTCACTTTGCACGTTAATCGGTTTAGTTTTCTTGTTTTCTCACTCAATCAAGCAAAACCCAAGATGGAATTGAAGTTCTTTCTCTCCCTTTTTTTCTCTCCTAGTTTCGGCCACAAGCTAGAAAAAATGAAGAAGAATGAAGCTTCAAGATGGTTTTAAGGCTTAGTCATAGTTTGGGTCAAAGGTTCTTGGATTAGTGCCACTTGTCACCACCAATTTCCATCTCAATTTTTTCCTTTTCCTTTAGTTTAAATGGTCAAAATTTTTGGCCACCTTGATCAACTTTAGAGATGATATTTAGGCTCCAATAACAATGAGATTAACTTGATAAAAATGGTGGGTTCAATCGGTAGTGAACGGTACCCGTCGGTTCGAGCCGATTTTCCTTAAATCGCGTATACTAGGGTTTTAACTTATAATTCACTAACTTATTATTCTCACTTCTAATCACGCACTTAATATCATTAAAAACTCACTCTTAATCACCAAATTTGATCCACCCTCCGTACTGGATAGTCACACTACGAATAGACGTAAAAACCCTAATTCGCGCTAACTTGAAAACGAAAAGGGAAAACCCTTAATTCTATATTCATTTGCACTTATTGTGGGATGATTGGGTAGTAAGGCTATTATAAAGTAATCATTTCCAAATAAAAGGGAATTTTTACGAAAAATATAAGGAATTTTGCAAGTCCTCGCACTCTCTCCCTCTTAAGAGAATTTCGTCCTCGAAATTCATACCTTGAGCTGTAAATAGGTCTGGATACTTCTCTCGCATATCCTTCTCTAGCTCCCAGGTGGCTTCCTCCACTTCATGGTGTTTCCATAGAACCTTCACTAGTGGAATCTGCTTGTTCCTCAAGTCCTTCACCTTCTTGTCCAGAATTCGAATGGGTCGTTCCTCATAGGTTAACGACTCGTCGAGTTCAATATCTTCTGATGGCAAAATATGAGTTGGATCCGGATGGTATTTCTTAAGCAAAGAAACATGAAACACATCATGAATCCGAGACAAGCTAGCTGGTAGCTCTAGTCGATAAGCCACCTTCCCTATCCGCTGGAGTATATTAAAAGGTCCTATATATCTCGGTTGTAACTTTTTCCCTTTTCCTGCCTTAATCTTTCCTTTCAAGGGAGTAATCCTAAGAAACACTTTATCTCTTATCTCAAATTCCAAATCCTTCCTCGGATGATTGGCATAACTCTTTTGTCGGCTTTGGGCTGTTTGAAGCCTCTGACGAATCACCTTTACCCTTTCGTAGGCTTCCTCAACCCACAGTATTGTAGCCGAATCAATAATCTTCCTCTCCCCTGCTTCATCCCAATGGATTGGAGATCGATACTGTCATCCATACAATGCTTCATATGGAGCCATTTGAATAGACGAGTGATAACTATTGTTATACGCGAACTCAACCAATGTTAGGTATTGGCTCCAACTTCCTCCAAAATCGACTATACAGGCTCTCAGCATATCCTCAAGAGTTTGAATGGTCCTCTCACATTGTCCATCGGTTTGAGGATGATACGCTGTACTATAATTCAGTTTAGTCCCTAAAGCCTCTTGCAGTTTTTGCCAGAATCGAGACACAAATCTGGGGTCTCTATCAGATACGATACTCACTGGTACCCCATGTAGTCTCACCACTTCATCCATATAGAGTTTGGCAAGTTTTTTCAAAGAATATTTCATATTTACTGGCAAGAAATGTGCGGTCTTAGTTAATCGGTCCACTATCACCCAGATCACATCATGACCTTTTTGAGTTCTTGGTAACCCGATACGAAATCCATCGTTATATGCTCCCACTTCCATTCAGGGATCTCTAAAGGCTGTAATAGACCTGACGGTTTTTGATGGTCAGCTTTCACTTGTTGGCACATAAGACATTTTTGCACAAACTGAGCAATCTCTGCATTCATATTATCCCACCAATACAGACTTTTGAGATCCTGGTACATTTTAGCACTACCTGGATGTACCGTATACCTAGAACAGTGAGATTCCTCCAAAATCTCCCTCTTTAAATCTTCATCCCTAGGTACAACGACGCGATTTCAGAATCTTAAAATTTCATCAGGACCTAGGTTAAAGTTGGGCAACGCTCCCTTCTTCACTTTTTCTACCCACTTCTGCACCGTTGGTTCTTTCATTTGGCCCTCTTTAATCCAATCCAACAGTGTTGATTTCACCTCAATATTTCCAAAAATAACTTTATGTGGCTCCAGACGTGGTTTCCATTCACATACATCCTCTAACAAGCGCCACTCTCCCACCATTGAACTTGCTAGTTGAGCTTTGCGACTTAAAGCATCTGCTACAACGTTGGGCTTTCCTGGATGGTAGTTAATCGTACAATCATAGTCTTCTAAGAACTCCACCCACCGACGTTGCCTTAGGTCTAGCTTCTTCTGAGAAAATAGATACTTAAGGCTCTTATGATCCGTATAGATCTCAAATGTCACCCCGTATAAATAGTGCCGCCATTTTTTCAAAGCAAACACGACAGCTGCAAGTTCCAAGTCATGGGTTGGATAATTTTGCTCATGAGACTTTAACTTCCGAGATGCGTAGGCAATCACATTCCTATTTTGCATCAAAACACACCCTAACCCCTCTCTCGAAGCATCGGTATAAACCGTATAGCTATCCGTCCCATTGGGCACAGCTAACACTGGAGCCATGGTTAATTGCCTCTTAAGCTCTTGGAAACCATTCTCGCACTTAGCATCCCAAATGTACTTTCCTTGTTTCTTTGTCAAGTTCGTTAGGGGTCCCGCAATTTTCGAGAAATTCTTTATAAATCGGCGGTAATACCCTGCTAGGCCCAAAAAGCTTCATTTTTAGTAGGATTCTCTGGCCGTTTCCATTTGGTTACAGCTTCCACTTTAGCCGGGTCTGTAGTAATCCCATCCTTTGAAATGATATGGCCTAGGAACGTCATTTTTTCCAGCCAAAATTCACACTTGCTAAACTTGGCGAACAACTGGTGCTCTGTTAGGGTTTGTAATACTATCCTCAAGTGTTGCTCATGCTCCTCCCTTGCCTTCGAATATACTAGGATATCATCAATAAACACCACCACAAACTTATCCAAATAGGGTTTAAACACCCGATGCATTAAATCCATGAATGCCATTGGGGCATTAGTTAAACCAAAAGGCATTATTGCAAACTCGAAATGCCCATATCGAGTGTTAAAGGCCCTTTTTGGCACATCCTCCTTTTTGATTCTCAATTGATAATACCATTGTCGAAAATCCAACTTAGAGAACACCACCGCCCCTTGTAATTGATCAAATAACTCATCGATGTGGGGCAAAGGATACTTATTCTTAACGGTTACTGCATTCAAACCACGATAGTCAATGCATAACCTTAAACTCCCGTCCTTCTTTTTAACAAATAACACTGGAGCTCCTCACGGTGACTCGCTCCCATGTATGAACCCCCGTTCTAGCAAGTCTTGCAATTGAATTTTTAACTCCTTAAGTTCAACAGGTGCCATTCGATAAGGGGTTTTCGAAATGGGAGTAGTTCCAGGTGCTAGGTCAACCTTAAATTCAATCTCCCTTTCGGGTGGCAGTGACCCCAACTCCTCCGAAAATACGTCCGGATACTCACTAATCACCGGCATGTCCTCCAGCTTAACCTTTTCTCCTGAGGTGTTAACTGAAAAAGCTAAAAAATCGCATGCCCCATGACTAAGTAATTTCCTAGCCCTTATTCATGAAATGAACGCAGATGAGACTAACATACCCCTCACGTCTAGCTTTAGGGTTGCGTCCCCCGGTATGCAAAACTCAACTACCTTCAACCTACAATCTACCCGAGTATGATAATGAGCTAGTCAGTCCATGCCTAGAATAACATCGTACCCCTTAATGGCTAGACTTATGAGGTCGACTACTAATTTTCGCTCACCAATCCAAATATCGCAATTTCTATACACCTCATTCCCAAGTAAAATTTGATTACCCGCAGGTGTTCTTACTTCTAAATCACAAGGTAGCCTTTCAACTTTCATGTCAATTCCAAGCATAAATGTAGGGCTAACAAAAGAATGAGTGGCACCAGGGTCTATCAGAATTTTGGCTAAACGATGAAAAACAGGAATCGTACCTTCCACGATCTCCGTCGGCTCAAGTACCGATTGCTGGTCCAACGAATACACCCTGGCCGGTACTTTTGACCTGGTCCCTCCTACCTTGATTAGCGGGCAGTTAGCGATCTGATGCTCCGTGCTTCCACACCTTAGGCACTTCCGGGCCTTTCTCCAGCAATTATCCTCAGTATGGTTTGATTTTCCACAATATCCACACGTTACTCGGGGAGTGGAGGTCTGGCCCCCCTGTGGTCCACCTCTCCCCTGTTCTCTTCCACCTTGGCCTCCCCTCGGCGTACCTCCCCTCGAAATACCCGTAAACCTTCCACCCCCAGCTCCACGACCGGCTTTAGGGGGTGATATGTTTCGATCACTCTGTGCTGGCTTTTGACTTCCACCGAGCGCCCCTTTTTGTTTCGCGTGAAAGTTCCTCACTTGTGCCCTGGCAATCTCTATCCTCTGGGCCTTTTCCAAAACCTCAGTAAAAGTATTAATTTGGGTTGCCGCTAAGGTCTCCTGTATTTCCACATTGAACCCTTGAACAAACTTCCTTACCTTCCTTTGCTCCGTAACTATCAATTCAGGAGCAAATTTAGACAACTTCGTAAACTGAGTTTCATACTCAGATACACTCAAAGTTCCCTGCCGAAACTTAATAAAATCATCCTCTATCTTCTCTTGGACGATCGATGGGAGGTATTTTTCGTTAAACTCCCGCACGAAATTAAACCAGGTCCATGCGGTTGCCTCTCTCTCCCACATAGCTCTAATTACATTCCACCAAACTCTAGTCGGACCTTCAAATTGAAAAGCAGCAAATTGCACTTGCCTATCCTCCGCATAGTTCAGAGCGGCAAAGATATTGATCATGGTCTCTAACCATCTCTCGGCTCCCTCAGGGTCCGGTCCTCCTAGGAACTTAGGAGGAGAGAACTTTTGAAATCTCTCGAGGGCTCTATCTTGTCCCATATCGGGAACCCTAGGTTGGTTCACAGGGGCTTGACCCGGTTGCTCTACTAAACGAGCAAGAATATTAGTCATTTGCTGGATCGCCGTCGCCACCTGATCTCCCCCTTCCACTCGGGGTCCAGGTTGCGGCTCCGCCGTTCCACTTCTTTCCCCTCTCGATTCTTGCACTGGTTCTTGGGCCTGTCTACCCCCTCGCTGACGATTAGAGCCACGTCCTCGAGTAGCTCCCTGATCCTGACTCCTTCTACCTTCCATGATTCTTGACTAGCCAACTATATAAATATAAGCAAAATAAGGTATGGCTCGGATAAAACATTTTCAAATCATAAAGCAGAGACAATAAAACACATTCAAAACAAACATGGCCTTTATATACATAGCAAAATAAGGCACATAGCAAATTAAAAGTACTGTACATGTCAACCTGGTCAAGTCAAAGGCTATACTAGCCAAGAGACATAGAACAAAAGAAACACTATATACATCAACCTTAACACGTCAAATTTCAAAAACAAAAGGGGACGTGTCATTCCACTATATCCCTATCTACCTCACAAAAATCTCTCAAACCCTGAACTAGGAGTCTAATTAGATGCTGACCCAACCGACTCCGTAGGTGCGGCAGACTCCTCATTTGGGTCCTCCTCGGGATCCTCCTCAGGATTCTCCTCGGGATCACTAGGAACCGCAAGCGCTTGACCCTCCCTGGCCAAGTCCTGAGCCACATCCTCCACTAGAGCCCCGCACTCAGTCAGGATACTGTGGGTCCGGTCTCAGACATCGCCAACTACTCGAGCAAGGCGACCAGTAGTCGCCTGAGCCTGCACTCTAAAGGCATCAGTCCGCTGCTGCTCCTCCAGAACTGAAGCCTCTATCTCTCGGATCCTAGCACTGTGTACTCGGAGGGCTGCCTGGAGATGCTCGATCTCTGTCTGGAACCTATGATTGGCGTTACCCAATCGTCTCCGCTCATCGTCCACGGCCAACACTACCCTATCGGGATAGGAGTAGGTCTTTCAGCAGTCCCAACGCCAGATCTTGCGCGCCGGAGACCACCGACACACGGGCCCACCGGGACTCTCTTGGTAGGTCAGCACACGACATGCAGGCCCCTCAAGATATATCTCATCAGTAGGTATGGGCTGAGATGGCCCAGCACCCCCAGTAGCATCTGTACCCGCCATCGCCTACATTACAAGAAGCATTGCAAGAAGAGGCAAGCTAGACATATAAATTGAGGCTAAAGGCCTATTCTCAAGTGTGAAACCCTAGCCTATCGTAACCAAACTATAACCAAGGCATAGCAAGTATAAATCACTCGAGCTACCCAGATCAATTCAAACCTAGGATCTGATACCACCTGTGACGACCCCACCTCCCCCTAAGGCGAACCAAAGGATTCGGCGGACCGCCTGCCTAACTCTCGCCAGGACTCACTCACGTAAAGCTCGCCAAAATAACTTACAAACGTAGGAAAATAAAGAACACAATCCCTTCAACTTAATATATATATATAGCAATACTCAGATCCAACTACAAGGTTCATACATGTCCAAATACATTAACGGGTCTACAATTCAAATACACACAACCGTAGTCGGGTGCTAGCATGAATACAAATCAAAATTTCAAAATAACTAGACTACGCTAGTCTGTACACGTCTCACGCCTCGCTCGTACCCCTGTAAGGGAAACAAAACTAATGGAGTGAGTTAAATCTCAGTGATGTCTCAAATATCAAATTGTCGATCAAATAAAGTAAAAATAGCATAATAGTGAAATAGCGAGCAAAACAAGTCAAGAAGTGAGTAACAGCACTTCATATAGCCAAACAATAAATTTTCCGCATTTCACATATAAGGATACGGTTGCTCATATATCGGCTCCACCATAGCTTGATCGATTGGTAGTTGACACTCCGTCAACTTTCGGATAAGAAACTAGTCCAGTAGAACACCACTTAACTCCAATCTCCGTCCACCGACAAAACCCCTTACTGGGACCGAACTCCACAATAAACACTGGTGGTAATACTCGAGTATACCGATTAGTCAAGGAGATAACACTCCACTCGACATCACTAACTACCCAGGGTTCGTTATCTAATCGACCAGACCCTTGCCGGCTCGACTCGACAAACTAGCCATAGGGTTTCTGGAATTCCAGGCAAGATACAGTTCATAGGCATGTATAACAAGTTAATTGCAATCGATGAACAAGAACACATCACATTAGGGCAAGTGCGATAAAATACACTCTTGCCCTATCAATTCACTTATATATATCATGTAATCACATTGGACAAGTGTTACACATGTTGACCTTGGCTGATCAGTCCTTGGTTTTGATGATTAACAAACCAAAATGTAAATTTGGACTAATGTTTTTATGTGAGAAATTTGTTAGAACAGGTCATTGATCCAAAAGAGAATCGAAAAGATTTGAATCAAAGAGAAATTAAGAAATATGAAGGTTCGGACGTAGAGGATCGGACGCTCGATAGAGGATCGGACGTCCGACAAACGACGATACTCTTCGGACGCTTGGATCGGACGCTCATTCATTGCTTCGGCTGTCCGACACAAAAAGAATGAAAGTTGAACATTCTGA